TCATTTTTGAAGTGCCCCATCTTGTGACACTTATAACACTCAACAAGGTCCTTGTTGAAGCTTGTACTGGCACGACCTCGACCACCTCGTCCCCGACCTTGGTAACCTCCGCGGCCTCTACCTCCATACTGATTTCTTTGATCTTCTATTTTTAACGCATGTTCTTCTCTTACATGCTTGCTCAGATTTTGCTCATGTACCAGCAATGAACTCTGCAACTCATCTACAGTGAGGTTCTTGATATCTTTGGATTCTTCAATGGCACACACAATATAGGTGAACTTTTCCACCAACGTCCGTAATATTTTTTCTACTACCTTTGCATCTGGCATATCTTCCCCTAGGTTGCGCATATCGTTTGCTACCACCATGACCTTTGAGAAGTAGTCAGTAATTGTGTCTCCTTCCTTCATCTCCAACACCTCAAAGTTTCTTCTCAACCTCTGTAGCTGTGCGCTCTGCACTCTCAGATTTCCTTGGTATTTTGTTTACATGGAGTCCCATATAATCCTTCGCTGTTTCCTTCTTAGCGATGGTCTTGAGGATTGTCTTGTCTATCGATGCAAACAAATAGTTTTTCACTCTTAGATCTTTGAGATTCATTTCTGCCCGCTCCGTTCTCTGAGCTCCGGTTAGTATCACGTTCGTCTCCGGTCTTGAGATTCCGGTTTCCACTAGATCCCACCACTCCTTGGATCGTAGAAGATTCTCCATGAGCATTGCCCAATGCTCATAATCTCCATCAAATTTCGGTATACTCAACAATGAATCTTTGTCACTCATCTCTCTTTTTCTCTCTCGCACTCTTGAACTTGTAACAGGTTGGATTACAAGCTCTGATACCACTTGTTATTTGTTGAATGACAAAACAGAGAAGTAACAAATCTCACGGATGACTTATTCAGCAAAGACTTAGTCAAAGACTTAGTCAAAGACTTAGTCAAAAGACTCAAACAAAAATTAAACAAAAGCGCACATTTATTTTCAGTTTATTCTGTAGATCCAATGTGTCTAATTGGAGTTGTGAATTTAATTAAAAACAAAACAACATGCTAACGATACTTATGTTGTAGACTTTTAGTACAATTAATTAGCTACAATAAATTCAAATGCGGTAAGAAAATACCAAATCGTTTTGACTTGTTGAATTCTTAAATCGCGAGGAAACTTTTTATTTTCATTTAATTAGCATTAGCCATTATGTCGTCTTATATTGAAAAATCACACTATTTTTCTGCATAAATTACTTTTAACAACACGTAAACTATCTTCTGTGAAACACAAAATCTGTTGCAAAATTACAAATCCATGAATAATCATAAGTCATAACGTTGTAACAAATATCTAAAATAATTCAGGATAAAGATGGGAAATAATAAGAAGACTGTTCGACAATAACACGTCACACGCGATATGGACGAGGAAGCGAGACGATACAGAAAGAGGAAAAAAGACGAGAAAATGGGGAGAGAAAATTCACGTGTTGGTAACGCACTTGCTAAGAGGTGTGGGACCCAAGAGTACTGTGTAGCATTTGTGTGTGGTCTAAAAGCAACCATTGTAGGAATCTTTGTCCGTTAAAAAGAAAAACCCTTTTTTTTTTAATAATCTACCATAAACTAGCCCTAATATATAATAATATATGGTCTTCGTATATCACCAATTGATATATAAAAAGAAAAGTACGAAATTTAATATGTACTCTTTAATTTGGTGTCTTGAAAGCCTACGAAATTTTTATACTACTACCTTGCAATTTAATAATCAAACACACATCTTATAAGTATCGTTTTCAAAGTTAATAACTCACGAGATCGTAACACGTGTCAAATATTTCGATCTCAGATTTCGCCATATGTCAAATAAATTTTCCTTTTTAATAAAAAAAGTAAAAAGATAATTATAAGAAAATTATAAATATAAATTATAAATTATAAAGTAACTAACACTTGACTCAAAAATAATTAAGAAAATAGCTATGAGTTAAAAAAGTATGGTTTTCAAAGTTAGTAACTTACGAGATCGTGACACGTGTCAAATATTTCGATCTCAGATTTTGCCATGTGTCAAATAAATTTTCCTTTTTAATAAAAAAGTAAAAAGATAATTATAAGAAAATTATAATAAATTATAAAGTAACTAACATTTGACTCAAAAATAATTAAGAAAATAGTCATGAGTTAAAAAAGTATGGTTTTCAAACTTAGTAACTCACGAGATCGTGACACGTGTCAAATATTTCGATCTCAGATTTTGCCATGTGTCAAATAAATTTTTCTTTTTAATAAAAAAGTAAAAAGATAATTATAAGAAAATTATAAATGTAAATTATAAATTATAAAGTAAAAAACATTTGACTCAAGAATAATTAAGAAAATAGCCATGAGTTAAAAAAAGTATGGTTTTCAAAGTTAGTAACTCACGAAATCGTGACATGTTTCAAATATTTCGATCACAGATTTTACCATGTGTCAAATAAATTTTCCTTTTTAATAAAAAAATAAAAATATAATTATAAGAAAATTATAAATGTAAATTATAAATTATAAAGTAACTAACATTTGACTCAAAAATAATTAAGAAAATAGCCATGAGTTAAAAAAGTTCCGGAAACTAACGTTTTCAGATATGTGAAAATTCAAAATGGCTATCAAGCAAAAGACAAACATACAACTTCGTATTCTAATTTGGTGAAAAAACATGAAATAAATAGTAATGATAAGAAAAAAAACTGAGAAAAAAAAAATCAATATTAGAATTCTGACGACGAAATAGAGGTATCCAACAATGTCATTTAGTAAAATACCTTGTCATACTGAAAGAAATAGGAGTAGCATGTGATTTTTTTGGAGGTGATGATGGTGGTGGTTGATGGTTCCGGAGGTGGTGATTGGGTGATTTAAAAAAAAAATATGATCATGTAAAAATTACATGCATTTATCATTTGTTGTAAATATATTATGTCAATTATAAAAACAAACACTGTGAATAGCAATGATTTTCTAAAAATTGTATGTGATATTCAGACCCAAAGAATATATGACAATGGAGGCAAATTAAGAATTATGAACGGCGATGAGCATAAACTAGAGTTGTTGTCAGAAAGGCTTGCCCTGATGTTGGAGAAGATAATGAAAGTGGAGTAATAAGAGAATTTGGAGAAAGAGGAGAAGAAGCGATAACAGTGGTGTTGGTGTTGATGACGGTGGTTCAAGTTTGGTGGTGGTGGTGGCGATAAATGTTGATGAAGGTGGAGGTTAAAGTTAAAAAACTGGTACACCAAAACAAAAGACTGTTGAGTCAAAACAAAAATTCAGGTTAATCGAATCATTTATTTTATCGAAATTAGCGAGATTCAGTATTGATGGTTGTGGTGATTGTGATAGTAGTGAGATTCATTTGTGGTGGTGAATCAGAGTAATGAGCCTTGCTGGTGATGTCTGAAGAAGGAAAGAAATAGAGATAGGGGAAAAGGAGGGCGAGAAAGAGAAAGAAAGAGGAGTTCAAACAAAAATAAAGAAAATCTAATGAGAAAAATAGAGAGATTTGAGAATTTCTCGCCGGCGAGCGGAAGGAATAAAAAAAGAAAACGAAGAAATGGGTAATATGAGCCAAAAATTGATTATGCCACGTAAGTACGTAACTATATAAATTCAACTTTTTTTATTGTTACCGTTTTTTTCAATCTTGCCCATATTGAAATTATAAAGTGTAATACACTTTTCCGATAGATGTAAATAAATTATTAAAATTTAGTAATATAACGTATAAATATTTATGACTTTATAACTTATAATAAGCAAAAAATTATATAATTTTATAAATAGGCTAATATTTATATTAAATGATTTAATAATTAGTATAACATAACTATAAATAGTGTTTTATATTGTGCAATATGCATTATAAATCTATATTGAAAATATAATTAAAATGGTGCATTATTTAAAATATATATGTTTATATAATTTTAGCTATCCTTATAAAAATAAAATTAAAAGTTAAGAATGATAATTTCGACCGGTAACCCGTGCAACGCACAGGTCCTTATATAGTAAAGTAGACACAGGCTTTTGTAAAGCATGTTTTCTAGGCTTGTTGATAATTTTAATATACTCTCACCCTATTCGAATACTTGTCGCTCTACACTTTTTTTTTGTTAATTAGTTATCGTTTTGACATTTTAATATAATTTTTGTATAAGACTTCCTAAATTAACCTCAATTAATTGATAACTAAATTGTGAATTATTTGTTAGGATGAGGTTAAAATAGTCATTGTCAACTTTCTTTTAATAAGCGTAATTATAGTTAAAACGACAACTATTCGAATACAGAGGGAGTATGTGTTTAAGAATTACCACAATTATTGAATTATCCATACGACGTCATACATATCAATCGTCATAAAAAATTTGTAAGATCAGACTATATTTAACTCAACTCATACACCGGATATTCCATATTTAATAATTTATATATTTATAAGATTTTATTAAGATTTAGAATTATGATTCTCATATCATCTTTGTTTTATTTGTTTTTAACTGTTTTGAATCATTAGATAATACATAATAATATAATCTGCCGCTTCAATATAGATTGAATCCATAATTTTTTTTAGTACCACTTATATTAGACATATCAAATCAGTCTCCCTCATAAGAGATTGTTTAAAACCAAAAATTATCCCGTGGTATAATGTTACTTAATAACAATTGTAGAATATAGAATATGAATATGTTAGATAATGATACAATTGGCAAACTTTTATATATAATAAATAATTGTGAAATTGTTAAAATTACTACTCTTATAAAACAAATCACGGGACGGATTAAAAAATTATAGGATGAGTTATATTCTTAACGGGGTTATAAGGTGGGCGAGTTTGAATCAATATTTATAAAATTTAAAATATCATTAACATGATGTTTAATACAGATTAATCCTTAATTTATTAAAATATAAATGTCTTAGAAAATGATATAATTTGTTAAATTTTATATATAATAAATAATTATTAAATTTAAAATCACTATTTTCATAAAACAAATCACAAAACGGGTTAAAAATTACGAAACGAGTTATATTTCATAACGGTGTATATGGCGGACGGATTTAAATCAATATTTATAAAATTTTAAAATATCATTAACATGCCGCTTGAATACGTGTTAAATTCTGAATTTATTAATAATTATTCTGTAGACTCGTGGTATACCGATACTTAATAACAATTGTAAACTATAAAATATTATAAAGAGATATAATTTGCAAAAAAAATAAATTATCCCGCAGTACACCGCAGATTAAAATCTAGTGAGCTATTAATCTTGTATAGATTTCAAGTTTTCAACTATCGTTTTCCAAAAATAAAATCTGTATTTTATATAACATATAAAATTTTAAACCACTATTTAGAAATTTACATCGTGATAGACCTATAATTGAAACTAATAGTACAATATTTAATACAAAGGTTGGCCAAAGAAAATAGACTAAATAGTACAATAGCAAATATGGTTAAATAGATAAGTATATATAATTTCGTATTTTTATCATTGATATTATCAACGTATATAATAACTGTCGACATGTGTGTAGAGTAGTACATGCTCACACACGTGAATGTCCCATTTATTGTCAATTTCTAATACTAGTAGCTAAATAGGGTTGATCTATATAGCCATTTATATTTATTTTTATTTGTTTCGGTATTCTTGATGATCCGTCCATGATGTGAACAAATTGGATAAATAGGGTTGATGGAAAACGAGCAAAATGTGCTCTATTTTTTTGGTTTGTCTTTCTAGTTAAGAAATCTTGTTGGGTATCCATAAATATTTCAAACCATATTCGTCCATTATCTAAATTACAAGACATAATTTGAGTATTTGTCTATGTTGTACAATAAGATCACCAAACATTTTACTGTAGAAAAACTAAAGGAATCATTCTGTAACACTGTTAATGTGTCATTAGTCATTACCAACCAATGATAGATTGATTGTTTTCGGGTAAAGCTTTGCACAAATATTTAAAAATTACATAGTAAAAGGCATAGAGCTTCTTATACTACTACTATTTTTTTTTTTTGGTAGGATCTTATACTACTACTATTTAATGATGGACAAAGTTTTGTTTTTATTTTTTTTATAAAAAAAATGTGAAGTTATTACACGTGGGACCTACACGTGTCACCAGATTAAGGAGCACTAATTGAAGAAATGGGTCATGCCTTCATGCTTCCTTTCTCCTAATCTCTTCCCTCTTTGAACCCTAACCTACAGACCAAACCCTACTTTCCCTACCTTAATTAACTATTTTCTTTATATATTATTATTATTTCTTCGTTAAACAATAATTTAAAAACAGGAACGTAGTTTTTAGTTTAAAATTATAAGCTAATACAATTTCAGCTTCTAGTAGTTATAAAATATGAAATAAATTTACTTAAATCGTAATCAGGACACAAAGTAACTTAAGGTACAGTAAAAATTAGATTTAATTATTTGGTTTTTAAATGAGTGAAAAAAAGCTGGTCTTGGTTCTTTATCCTGACATGCCACGTCATTAACGCACTTCTTCAT